CGCCTTGGCCTTGCTCTCCAAAAGACTTAGAGCTCTTGCTTGCCGCTCTTCTCAGACTCAGTCTCTTCTTGTGACCCAGCTTGTGACGGTGCGTGTGTACACGAGCGAGGAGTGAACAGGCTAGTTCCAATTCACTCTGACACGCTAATCTTGAAAACGTCCAACGGAGCTCCGTGTTGCTCCCAGCGCCCTCCCCCGCGCTCCCTGCGGCCATGGCCGATGATGCTAGTATGAGAGGTCATCTGGCTACCGCGAGAGCGACCCAACTCGTCGACATCGTCCGATGATGGTGCCGCAAAAAGTCAGCCTTCGGAGGCTATCGTGGGGTCGAGCCGTCAGTAGCCGTGACATGTGGTTCCACCACCCCTCGTAGGCTTTGCCTCTGACCGCCACCGTTCCCAGGCTGCCTAATGGGATGGAAAGGAAGGCTGGGCGAGCGTATAGAAGCGTGCTCGACCTCGTCGTGGCAACCTGTACGGCAGCGCTGGTAACCTGGTATAGGCGCGATGAGTTGCTCTCCGATCTCAGCGGCGTCGAGTCGTCTCCGGCGGCGACAATTCGGTACCTCCCCAGGACGCGCAGAGGCAGCTGCGACCCCGGCGAGTGGACGGGGGCACATCGCGGGATCTGCGGGGTGCCGCCGTCTACTCGGCGGGGTCGCAGCTGCCTCTGGAAGGCACCGAGAGGTACCAAATGGCGCAAATGACCAAAATCAAGATTGTGTAACGCGGGCTGTGCCACTGTGAAATGGAACTAGCCACAGTGATCCGGACGGATTGAAGAAATCACACACAAAGATCGTTCAGGGCGGGGACACATGTCCCTAAATCCCACCTCGTCATCAGAGTTTCGCCGTTTTCTTATTTCTATGGCTTTGAGTTTGACCTTTTTTACACGCATTACAAGAAAGAGGTGGCTGACAAGCTGCCGAGCCCAAATCACTGTGAGAGTCGTGATTTCTTGTTGGTTAATAAAATCTCGCATTACGCATACGCTTGGCCTTGGGGGTTGGGGGGGAGCTACGCAGCTACACACATGCCTCATGCGCACATGGCAGCCCTACTTTAGCCTAGCCCCTATAGCGTGTAGTGTACACATTCTCACATACGTTCTCCCCCCCCCCCCCCCATCTCGCACATGCAGTTCCCGCTACCTAACGCCGCTGCGCGCGTACACATACACAGTACACAAACCCTGAGCGGCGTTCCGGAGCGTACCCGTTTCCCGATGCGGCCACGAATCGGTGCCACAGCGTCAGAGAGACAACCTATCTAAATTTCCCGCCTGGCTTTCTCGGGCTCGCCTGCCGTGTCTGGCCAAGTGCCGCGCCTCACTTCGGCGGCTGGCCCGTCGCACGCATCACAAAGACGACCTTCCAGTCCCCGCCCTTCTTCTCCAGCGTAGCGGAGAAGACGGCATAGTCGTCGTTCTCGTCGCCCTTGTAGATGAACTTTGAGTGCTTCGAATACGTCGCCACGGCTGCGTTGCCGCCCGCAAAGATACGGACCGAGTCGATCGAGACGAGTTCGTCGGATTCGATGACGACGTCCTCCGACGCGAACATTGTCGCCCACTCCGCTTTCGACAACGGATTCCCGCTCGGGCGGATCATCTGCACGTCGTCGTCGGCAAAGAAGGTTTTCCAATGCGCGTTGAACTTTCCAATGTCGAACTGGAGGTCGTCTCCGACCAGGCACTCGAACGCGTTCTCCTGGTCCTTGCACATCGCCGTGATGAACGTCCTCACTTCCTCCGCCATGGTTTTGAGCTTTCGGTGGGCTCCTGCAGCGGCGACGGCCGGCGGCGGGTAAGGCGGTGGGCGGTGGCGGAGCGCGAGAAAAGCGAAGCGGGGAGGGAAGCAGCGCATGCACGCCTGCTCGCTCACTCAAGTCGGCGTGAGCAGAGAGAAAGAAAAACGTTTATTTATTAACAACGAAGGCGCTCTAAAAAAAGAAAAAGTTGGCCTGGGCGAAGAACGCCGGTCTTTCTTTCTTTCTTTCGACGGTGTCGGCTGTCGGGAGGGACTACACGAAGGGACGGGCCCGTCCGCGCAACTAGACTAGCTAGGCGACACAGGCACCCCCACGGCGGCCTGCGAAAGAGGCCGTCTGCGGATTGCTTGAAAGAAAGAAAACGTACAGCGCAAGGGAGGATGGGAGGGCGCTGCGCCAGACTTTAGTTTTCTTCTCGAACCCAAGGCGGAGTTCGTCATCCAGGCTGACGACACGTCGATTAGGGCGGCCAGCGCTGACGCCGAGAATGTGCACAAAGGCGCTCAAGGCGAACAGGAAGGCGCTCTGCAACACGGTGTCCAACGTGAAGAAGGTGAAGTACTTTCGGCCTGGAGGCGGAGTGGAGGGCATCCCGGCGGAGCAGCTCGAGATGCAGGGCGGTGAGCTCGTCGGCCTCAAGCTAGTCGGCGTGTACTTGGCCCCGGACACGGAGGCCGGGCGGAAGTGGCAGCGCGACAACCTCTCGGCTGACTTTACGGCGCGCTTCTCGGTCCTCGAGAGGGTCGACCAGGCTTCGAGACGACGACAAGAACCACGATGTCCGGCAGCTGCGGTACTCGATGATGCGCTGCCGCAGCTCAACGCCGTACTACTGGATGCGCACAATGTACCCGTGTGTGGTCCGGCCAGTGCTCGAGGAAGTGGTGGAGCCGGCGCTCAAGAAGTCGTTCGTGCAGCTGGCTGAGGCGGGCCACAGCCCGCAGGAGCTAATCGACCAGGCCTGGGCGGAGGCCCAGCAGGACGGGCGCTTCGGTGGCTGCGGCCTCGGCGGGCACGCACAAAGGGCGGATGCGAGCTTTGCGGCAGGTGTCCTCTCGGTCTACCCGTCACTACGTGACACCGTCGCACTGCGGGGCATGCCCCTCTCCCCGGTGGCAGGGGAAGAGACAGTGCCGATGCTGCAGCACTTTGCGCAGCACTACAATGACATCAGCCAACGGCGTGGCGATGTCGCGCGCATCTACGCGGTGCGTGCACAAGACAAGGAGTTTGGCCTCTGCCACACGGACGAGCTTGGCCGCTTCTGTCCGTCCATGCTGCCGTCGGCGCAGCGCATCCCGCCTATTGGCGACCTATTCACGCAGCAGAGCACCTCTCCAGTCCCGAAACAGGGCACGCTCGCTGCTGTCGGGGCCCACGAAGCGTGGATCGCGTGCCTGGCGGCGTGCGAGGAGATGGACAAAAACACGCCGCAGTCGGAGGCGATTAAGTCCAGGGAGGCGACTCGCTACATCTCGATCTCCCAGTTCGGCGCCGCTGGATGGCTCGACATGCGCCCTGATGGACTCCACCACACGAAGATGGTGTCGGCGATGTTCCTGACGGCGATACAGCGCAGGCACGGGCTCTACTTGTCGGTGATTGCCCCCACTTTCGTCGAGAAGGCCGCCGCGGGCGTGCACGTCACGGTGGGAGAGTACAAGGGCGACTCCCTCGCCAACTCCAACAAAGGCGACCGCACCTCCAAGCACAATGGGGTGCTAAGGGCCGCCCAGAATGCCATCCGGGCGCGCTCGGTTGGCAGCATCATCCTCGGGGAAGCCCGAGGTGACGCGGCACGTCAACGACACGTCCGTGACTGACATCTGCGAGCTCGGCGGTGACTTCGCCACGATGCGGGACGTGCATTACGAGGTCAAGTGCTGGAACCCGCTCATCAAGTCGACGACGTCGGGGAGGGGCTCGTGGGACAAAGGTGGCAATGTGGCGTCGGTGGGCCACCTCTATCTACGGGTTTGGAAAGACGCTGGACAAGGCGTTGACGGCGGTCGTGGGGTGCAAGGAGCGTGGCCGTCAGGTGGACGGGCCGCTCGACCACTCTCGACTGGAAAGGGATGGGTCAAAGACCACGCGCCCATATGGAGACGGGTGGGTCAAGAAGAATGCAGGCTGCCGGTGGATGGGGGCGCAGTACTACGATGCGAAGTGGATCAAGAAAGCCATAAGGCGGCTAGTGCTCGTGGAAACTTTGGGTGGCATTGCGCCGCCCACCAAGCAGTCCTGCTACACGTGTTCGCCAAGGATGCGGCAGGCACCGAAAAAAAGTACGGTGCCCTTTTCTCTCGAACCCCTGCAGCGCGTGCTGAGCGCGTGTGCGAGGGCCAGCTCGAATGGCAGAGGGAGATCCGCAAGAGCTGACGCAAGAAGGGTCCGACGCCCAGCCTGCGGCGAAGCGCGCAAAGATTGATGCAAGCGACGCTGCCGCGCCGCCACCCGCGACGCATGATCCGAGCGCAGCCGCCGCCGCGCCGCCGCCCGCGACCAACGCTGAAGCGCACGACACCGCCGCGGCGCCGGCCACCGGCGAAGAGCGAGCGGCGCAGCGCGACGAAAGCGCCCCCTCTGATGCCACCGTGGCCCCACAGGACGACGGGGCGAGCGGCGGGCCAGAGCCGGAGCAGCCGCCGCCCGCGTCGACCTCTCTGTCGGCTGACCCGCCAGCAGCCCCGGTGCTAGCGCCGCCGCCGGCTCCGGTGCTGGCGCCGCCGCCGGTGCTGGCGCCGCCGCCCATCCCGCCGTGGGGGCAGGCCGCGCCACCTGGCGGCGCGGCGACTGCGCCCGCCCCGGCCGCGCCGGAGGGGGCGATCTCGAACGAGGACCTGGTCGCGCTGCTCAAGCAGCGGGAGGCTGCGCGGGCGTCGCGCGACTGGTACATGTCGGACCAGCTCCGCACGACGCTGGAGGTGCCTCCCGCCGCAGCCCCCCCACTCCCTCCCCCCTCCTCGCCTCCCCCC